ATGTTTCCAACTATAAATAATATGAATAGTGTAATAAAATATACCTTGGAAGTTACTCAGAAGTTAGATCACTTGTTTCTTCAACAAGTTTAATCCTGTTGTTTTTTTGGTTGCAGGGGTATTGCTAGATGACTTACTTGTTGCTGAAGACTTGGCTGCTGCTGAAACAACTAGTGCAGCTTCACATGCAGCAGCTGCAGCAGCAGTTAATATACAAGCGGGTAGATTAACAGGAAGGTATGGTTTTGGTGATGAAAGAACGAGGCAAACAGACCCTGAAGCAGTTAATGATGGCTCAGTCGTACTGGGTACTCCTGTCGCCCCCCCTGTAAATGGTGATATGTATTCTGATATAAGCACTGAAAATGCGACACTTCAAGGACCTCGGTGAGTTTGCAGTTGCATAGGAACAACAACATCTGCTATCTCTGGTTTGTTAATGCATGATTAGTTTTTTAAAAATATATCTTGCGGTTTGTTTCGTTTGCAGGAGACTCATAAAAGGTGTTGAATATTTAGTGGAGGCTTCTGCTGCAGAAGCTGAGGCTATTACTGCTACACTAGCAGCTGCAAAAGCTCGTCAACAAGGGAATGGAGAAGTTGAACTTCCAGATAGGGACCGTGGAGCGGAGGCAACACCAAGTGGAAAACAGGCGTCTACTCTGATCAAGCCTGACTCTGCCTTATCAAATAATTCTGTCCCAGCTGGAGTCCGGCTGCATCACCGTGCTGTCAGTGTTCAGATCCTTAATACCATGTGTTTGTCTTAGTTTGCTCATAAGTTGACTGATGATGTGCTTTAATGCATTGAAGGTGGTTATAGCTGCAGAGACTGGTGGTGCTCTAGGTGGCATGGTGCGGCAGCTTTCGATTGATCAGTTTGAAAATGAAGGCAGGCGAGTTAGTTATGGAACACCAGAAAATGCAACAGCAGCAAGGAAACTATTGGATCGTCAAATGTCCATCAACAGTGTTCCTAAAAAGGTACTGCAATGATTTGTCTCCAGATGAATTATCAGATTAAGTGCCACAATATGGCTTACTATTTTTATCTGATGTGTTATTCATGCAAGTTAAAAGGGTAAACTGCTTGCACCGAAACTTCAAAATCCCATGGTGGAAACAGTGCATAAGTCTTGCTAAATAAGTAGCTGAATTAATTAAATCCAATATATTTGGCTTGTCTCTGTTTTTTGGCATATCCATTTGAAGGGCCATTGAGTAGCAGCTAGATAGTAAGATGGCCGATTCGGTTTTTCTGCTCCTGGCATAGCTCTTTCACACGAGGAAGATAGGTGTTTTGTTGACTGTTTCAATGTGCCGTTCTAGGTTATATGTTCTAACTATCTCTTCCTCTCTTGATTTTGGCAAGTGTTTCTTCAAGAGTGCTTTTTAAACATAGAACTATAGAGGTCTTTAAGAAGTTCAATAAAGAACTAGGGAGTAAAAGTGTGCAAATAGTACTTTGGAGGGAAGAAAGAGAATAATATTTATATTTCCTTGACTATATGTTGTGGCCTTGTACTAGGGTGAGCTCGAGGGGGGGGGGGGGATGTGATGAGAGCTGGACCATCTGTCTTAATTCAGTCAGGCCCCTAACTTTTCTGTACACCCGAGCAAAGACTTCCACTCTGCAAAAAATGTAACTGTGATCAACTTTATAGCTTAAGCTTTTATATCGTGTAAAGACAAATAACTGCAATATATTAGTTATATTATTTTTCTTTCCTTGCTATCTCAGGTGATATCCCATCTTCTGAAGCCTCGTGGCTGGAAACCGCCTGTTCGGCGACAGTTTTTCTTGGACTGCAATGAGATAGCTGATCTTTGTGACAGTGCTGAAAGGATATTTGCGAGTGAACCTAGTGTTATACAGCTTAGGGCTCCTATTAAGATATTTGGTGACTTGCATGGGCAATTTGGGGATCTTATGCGTCTTTTCGATGAGTATGGTTCCCCATCGACCGCTGGGGATATATCGTAAGTGCTTTGGCTCAATCTTGCTTCTGTTAGTTTATTTTCTGTTCCAGCTGTCCTTTTGACAGTCTTTAGCTCCCTGGGTTGTAGTATTATTTCTATCTTAATCCTCATTTTTGTTTTGAAATGGATATTTTGATTGACATTGCGTGTATCACAGCTAGTTGCTGTAACTGTCAGGTGTCTCAGTAGGCTATCAGAATACTGTTTTTGATTTTGTGGGGCAACACTATTATGGAAATGGAAGGGAATGTTTTCCCTTTTCTTTCTCTAAATTAAGCCCTTGTGAGAGCTTGTTGCTAATTGTTACCAAAACAAGAACCAAACTAACTCCTTGAAGGAGTACAGAGAAAATGTGTCACAATATTTTGTTGTTGTCTCTTTGCTGTCTCTCCTGTAGTTCTGACTCCTGCAGACTTGCACCAATTTTTTGATTGATCTGATTTGAGGAGTCGATATTTGTCCTTTTAGTCTTGATACTAATTTCGATAAGTGACCATCAGGTATATTGACTACCTCTTCTTAGGAGATTATGTTGATAGGGGCCAGCACAGTTTGGAAACAATGACCCTTCTTCTCGCTTTAAAGGTACCTCTTGTTTCTAACTCTTCTTCTTGCTAAAGGCACCTCTTATATTTTGATGTTTGCTTTGCTTTCACATTCTTAGTTACCCTGTCATTTTGATGACATAAATTGATGCTTTAGGTTGAGTATCCCCTCAATGTACATCTAATTCGTGGGAACCATGAAGCTGCTGATATTAATGCGCTTTTCGGCTTTCGAATTGAGTGCATTGAACGCATGGTATGTTATGATTTACTGGCTAAAGCTTGTAATTGCTTTTCAAGCTAGACACTGATGTCTATATATGCAACAGGGTGAGCGAGATGGAATTTGGGCTTGGCATCGATTTAACAGGTTGTTCAACTGGCTTCCTCTGGCAGCATTAATCGAGAAAAAGATAATCTGTATGCATGGTGGTATTGGAAGGTCAATTAATCATGTTGAACAAATAGAAAATATCCAACGCCCTATTGCTATGGATGCTGGCTCAATTGTTCTTATGGATTTATTGTGGTTAGTCTCCTTCTCCTATGCTTCCTTCATTAACTTTAACATCCTCATACTTTCTCACGCTGGCGCGTGCTTGTAGGTCTGACCCTACAGAAAATGATAGTGTTGAAGGATTAAGACCCAATGCAAGAGGCCCTGGGTTGGTCACTTTTGGGGTGAGTAATTTACATTTCGTGTCAATTTTGAGATATTTTTCTCTCCAAATGCAATGTCCGATCACTATGGATGCTGGCTCAACCTATTGTATGTTATTTTGGGAAGCTGCATATTCTTATCAGTTCACTGGAGTTCTTTAAAAGGGCCCACCCAGTATGGAAAGAGATGATAATTCAAACAAAAAAGTCCAGATTGCTTTGTCTGCCCTGCTTCACTTTGACATTCTATGGGCTGTCATTTTCTTGAGTTTGTTTTGTGCAATTGCAGCTTTTCCATCTTTGTAGCTTGGACCTTTTATAAGATACTGAACTCACGATTCCTTGAAGTCACTTATTTGATTCACCAGTTGGGCTTTTACGACTTAAAGTTTCCAGTTATTTGGGACATGTATTGTCTGTTTGCTGGACTGGAGTCTTAGTACTTCAGTTTATGTGGTGCTTCAGTATTAGATATCTCCTAGCTATCCTGGTCTCCAGGGTATTTGGTTGGTTATAGTTTTCCTTGCATTTCTCGTTTAACTAATGTTAACACTTGCATACATGCAGCCTGATCGTGTGATGGAATTCTGCAACAATAATGATCTTCAACTGATTGTCCGAGCGCATGAATGTGTGATGGATGGATTTGAACGATTTGCTCAGGGACATTTAATAACGCTTTTCTCAGCCACAAATTATTGTGGTAAGATGTTGCAAATTTTTTGGATGTTTAGCGGTTTTCTATTTCTTGGAACGTCTTTTATCTTTATGCAAATTCTTTTTGTTCTTTTCTCATCCTTTCTACAGGTACTGCCAATAATGCTGGTGCTATCTTGGTATTGGGTAGAGATCTTGTTGTGGTTCCAAAACTTATTCACCCGCTGCCGCCAGCAATTTCCTCTCCTGAAACTTCACCTGAGCGGCATATAGAAGACACTTGGATGCAGGTTTGTTATTTACCAGATCTTTTCTTTTTTTCTCTTTGATGTGTTTTTGATCTTGCTCGTTATTTTTGGGATAGGAGCTAAATGCCAACAGACCACCGACACCAACCAGAGGACGTCCTCAAGTAGCCAATGATCGAGGTTCTGTTGCTTGGACTTAAATTATAGTGCAATTGTCTTGCTATACTTCCAGGCTCATGCTAACATGTCGGATTTCCAGTGATATGTACATAGCCGATCACCAATCAGAGTTCAATGGAGATACTTATCCTCGCGAAAAGTTTAACGCTTGAGCCACGTTGTTATTCTTCCATGGAAGGGTCTTCAGAAAATCAGATTAGATATCGGAGGTGGCAATTCGTGAGTTCTATTTCATCATGATACAGAGCAGATGGGGTTTTCGATGGAGGTGTACATTGAGCCGCAAGCAGGTAGACGGAGTTTTGATCATTGTCATGGGCGTGTAGTGCTGGGTTTTCATTGAATTTTTTTTTTCTTTGTTTAGTCCCTACATATTCTTTTCATCGTTTAGGTGTATCATCATTTTTGTCTGCGGATTGCTGAGATAGATAATCCTGAGCTGTTGTAATTCATGTATCATAGAAGTCGTTGCTTTGTGTATCGCTGCCTTGTAAAATATACTACCTCCTGAACAAGAAAATGAGAAAACAAAAATTGTAGTGTGTTGTTTACTATGTAAGTTGCAGATAAGCTATTTTAAAGATCAGTTAACGGTTCTTGTTGATTACAACATGAAGCTCCTTTTTTAAAACTTTTTTTTGCGTAGAATGTGATGAGTTCATTTGAAGAAAGCTATGGTGCAGTACCGCTTCACCCTTTGATTTAGGTGTTAAAATATCAGATCCAGTCATTCTCTAAAGCAGTAAAATTACCCTGCTCTTTCTCTCTTCTATGAAGTCTGATGAACTAATATGGTGCACAGAACATAATTCCAGAAGCTTTCTACTACCTGGTCAACACTGGAGAGCAAAATGTAATTTGCTGCTCAATAATTAGCTTTTTAACAAATACAACTTTACACAAGGTTGAAGCTTACACTCAAGAAGCCACTTCAAGCTTTCAATGAGGATTCATGGCATTATGGAAGCAGTAAAAACCCATCAGAGTACATGAGTTAACCTCTTTTAACAGGTCTTTGAACATAAGATTTGTTGGGATCTTCTGTCTTAAGCTTTGGAGGCCGAATCTCTCCTTTCTTAGCCTGCAAAAAAGCATGATGAAACTTATCATTACAAGATGTTCGCAAAAGAGTTATTGACGGCAATCTAAGCAAATCAAAAATACCTTTTTCCCACCCTTCATGAAATCCCTCCAACTGGACACCTGATGAGACGAAGAAAAAGCAAGCAGCTATCAGGAAGAGATCTACCTGTAGATCATAACTTAGAAAACATTTAACTATAGTACTGCTATTGCTATAAACATGTTAATAGTAACTGAGGATACACCATCAGTATCTTTTATAAATCCTATGAACCTGAAAAATAGGCAAGTAGTAACTGAGAAGTTCACCAACTGCGAGTTATATAAATCACATACTTCACTGAACATACAATAACCATAAATGAGCTAGAAAACTAACCCTCTTTTCTCTAGTTCCTTCCCACTGCTCCTCATGCTCACGTTTTCTTTTCCACATCTCTTTTGTTTCTTCCTCATCTTTCTTCAAGCGACCTTCTTCTTCAGATATCTACGCAAAACCAAACAGTAAGTTTAACTAGAAATCCAAAAAGATGACATATGAAAAAAACAGCTAAGGAACATACCCTCATTGCCATTTTTCTCCTCCGCCATTCTTGATCTGTCAATATTTCTCTAACCTTTAACTTAAGCTGCTGCTGGAATTCCTCTGACTGCTCATGTTCTTGGTCATATTTACCCTGTTTGCACAATCAGGAGTACAGAAATCAACCATCTGAAACACAAAAGTTACATAGTGCTATATATTTTCCTATATGCTCTATTGAAACCATATAGGTTCCTTACTACGCAAACCATTAAGGTGGAATAAGAATCATGAAAAAAACGAAACACAAGGAGTTAAATAAAAAACATACTAGTGGAATGGTGAAACAAGAGTAAGTCTAAAAAGCATGAAGTTACATAACCACGGTTTAATGTGGTTTTGATTGTGTGAAATGTTCACGGTTTCATTGTAAAAATACAATGTCATCTCAATAGTAGATACAACATTAGGAAGAAAATTCACCATCTGAATATCCAGAAGCAATAATTCCAGTTAAATTCAGATCAATTTTGAAAAACTGAGAGAATTGCAGACTTACCTCAGTAACTAATGACTTCAATTTGCTAGCAGTATCTTTTTTGAGCTGCTTCTTCCACTTTGATCTTAATTCTTCTGTGCTCATACACAAAAAGGGGAAAACAAAGAAATTTCAGTATTATATGAGACAAAATATTAAAAGAGGTAAAGGAAACCAGAAGAATAATTGATATAGTAGTTCCAGTGAGTGAGCAACATAATGAAAATACAGGACAGTCCCATTCGTCCATGTTGAGTAACAGAAGGTGGCTCACAATACCAGAACAACAAGTTTTTTGACCCTATATATTATCATCTTTAGTTTGGACAGCATATTGAAGAAGTTTCTGAAAACAAGTTGTGTAAGCTGACTTGTTTGGGAAAATTATGCATGTTTTCTCAGTGAAAGAAGAGTTCTTCAGCTTAAACAAAAAAAATCAAATTTTGAAACAAACCCCATTTCTCAAAATTGTCCCATTTGAAAAAAAGAAAGAATATCATAAACAGACACTACCACACAGTTTTGTTGAGCTCAGACCACTGAAGAATTGCAGCAACAGTGCAAGTGCTCCATTGGAAACATAGAGAGAATGTCAATGCAGTCTATACATGGCGAAAGGAAGACAAAAGAGAACAAAAGAATAAATAATGAGGATGCGACAGACCTTTTGCTGCAACAACTTGGCTCAGAATGTAATCCCTCTCCTGTTGATCAAGTAATAACTGTTGCGCTTTAGCTAAGGCTGCATACAACGTGAGAAAATTTTGAAAAATAAAATTCACGAGCAGGAAGGGGACAGATATAAAATATAAAATCTTACTAGAGCAGTAAAAAAAAAAATCATCTCAAAATAAGACTAAATATAAGCATTTACAAGAGTAATCTCTTGAGATTAATGCTTTTAGGCTCCTTTACAGCTCTCATCCATGCTTCTTCAAATTCTTTTTGAGTCAACATAAATGATATACACAAACAATATCGTTCATGAAAATGAAAATTCCCTTAACCACTCCAAGCAATACACAAAATAAATAAAAACTGACGCTTGTAAAAATAATATTTGTACGGTAGTTAAACAGATAGATCCCATTATAAACCAGAATTCGGAAGTTGTAAAATATGTTTTTTCTGGTGCTATAGCAACAGAGACTCTTCATATGCTAATTTCTGAAGAGATCATTCATTAAGCATGATATATCTATGGAAAGTCTTACACTAGCATACAATAACAAGTAGTTCCACATATACTTCCTGTATACATGTCGTGAGTAACCTATGTGATTCACATTAATGGCTGAGGAACTGCAGCCTTCTGCTCTCTTCAGTACGGTACCCATTTTAAAGCCCTGGGGTTGGCTAAGTTGAATAACCATTCTTAGACAAAATATTTTAAACCGGTCACTAAGAGGCAGTAACTGCAGTCAATAACTAATACAAATCTAATACAATAGAAAAACAACTTCCCAAATACATCTACCGCATGGACATTAAGAATCCAATTTGAGTGACTTTCCAATTCAAAAGTTTCATGGAATGATCAAACTTAGCTTAAAGATGAAAGATATCAATTTCTAACATAAAACCACCAAATGATAGAACAGGGGATAACATGTAAAGCATAACCCATATACTCAACGGCAGTGTTGTTAAAAACGCCGAAGTGCTCGCGTTAGCGAGAAGCGAAGCGACGCGACAGGGTTGTGTTTTAATGCCTTGAAGCAAGACAATAATGAAAAAGTGTGTGCTTCTGTTCCAAAAGTGAGAAGCGCGCTTTTTATAAAGCGAGAAGAAGCTTGCTTAAATGAGATAAGCTAATTAGGGTTTTTTTTTAAAAATTCTGTAATGTTATTTTTTCAATGTCAGTAAATATACTTGAGCACATCTTTCCAATTATTTTCCCTGCTTGATTGACTGTTGCAACTGCTGCTACAGGTTAGTTCTCTTCTCTTCTTCACTTCTTCTCTTTCTGTTCCTCTGAGCGCTTGATTATTTATCTATACATATTTAGTATTTTTTATTTTTATACTAAATACCACTTTATTTGAAAAAAGGTGTGTGCTTCACTTCACGCTTCACGCTTCTTTGAAGCGAGCCCTCATCACTTTTTTCCACTTCTCACTTCCCAAAATACTGCTCAATGCAAAGATCCGTTTTTCAAAGTATAGAAACAAGCGAACGTGGTGTTCATCCATTATGAAATGAATTTTTGTTTGAATAGAGAATTCCTTCGCTCAATAAACTACCTAAAATAACATATTCATTTATACAAGGAACAAAATAAAGTGGCTTACTTACCACCAAATGCCTCCTTTGCTTGTGGATGCTTGCATTTATCAGGGTGAACTAGCAAAGACAACTGCATAGATGTAAGTTATGGTAATATATTAGGGTTGAGTCACAGAATTTGATATTAAAAAAATGGAATCGTTCGAGTCCAATGGAAATTTCAACTTTCAAGAAATATACCTTACGATATTGCCTTTTAACTTCGTCAATGGATGAGTCAAATGACAGGTTAAGGTATTCAAATGGATTCAACTTGAAGCATGAAAGTATCCTGTAAATTTTAAGTTTGAATCAAATTATGAAATATAGAATAATGTAAATAATAAACAATATTGAATTTGTATTTATTCAACTATCAACATCAACAGGTTTACATCTAAAGGAAACTAGTACATGTCAAAAAGGAATAAATGACTATTATTAAGCCCAACACTGAACAGTGGGAGGAGACTCGGAGCACTTCTTAGTACAGATGGGCTTGCATCAGGAATCAACACGTAGCCCGTTTTTATATGTTCTGGTAGTGGATGAATTGAAGTGGTATAATCAAGATAGGTGCCATAATTTATGTTAGATGACATAGTACTGATTGATGAGACACGCAATGGAGTTAATGCTAGGTTGGAGGTGTGGACTGGAGACAACATATTGATGAGGCATGGATGAAGTGGTGGCTAGCCTCCGAAGTTATTGCACTACTTTGCAGTTGTTACTATTCCTTTTCTGTTTACTGTGCACTGCTTATTACTTGTTATGTTTTCTTCACTTCCATTTTTCATAATCACTCTAATTTGTTGCACTTGAGCCGAGGGTCCTTCAGAAACAACCTCTATACCTCCACGACATAGGGTTAGGGTCTCCGTAACACTCTAACCTCCCCATACCCAACTTGTAGATTTCACTAGGCATGTAGTAGTTGTTGTTGTTAAGCTCGATCCTCAACAAATACAAATCATAGTGCAAAGTAGTTGTCTAGAAAGTGATTTTTCCTTCCAAAGACCGAAACTTATAAAAAAGAGAGTTCTAAAAGGATAGATAATATCCTACCAATCTTTAAATCATTTTATCCCATATAACTTACGTCTTCAGGTGTTAGAAACTATTGATCTTCTTCCCGGCAAAGCTCAGAGATAAATCATACAATACAATTACAGTTACCTGAATAGCATTATGTTGTAAAATTCGCGCTATACAAGTGGAGAAGAACTTGGAACAAATAATTGACACAAACAAAAAGGATCGCGGCACAAACAGATGTAAACACACACACATACATCTATATCTATGTCTTGTTTGTTTTGTATCTATATATACATATATAATAAGGAGGGAAGGAGGCTGAACCTTATAACTTCGTTGTCGCGCTCAACCTCGCTGACCTCTGCGAAGAATTGCTTGAGAAGTGCGTCCTCGATGGCGGAAGTTTTTTCCGACGACGGAGATGGTGCGGCGGTGACAGAGCTGTTGTCTCCCATCAAATCAAGCGTTGAGTTCACGCTCCGCTGCGAATCTCTCTCCTGTTATACGTAACAACCACTTCGCCACCGGGGATGAAAACTCCCAAAACGTTTACAGCTTAACGGGTACACAGAGTTCTGATACTGGGTATTCGGGTTTTAAGTCCAACCCAAATTATTGGGCCAACTTACTATTCAAATGATAAATACGGGCCTGATTCAGTGGGCTTAAGTCCAACCCAAATTATTGGGCCGAAGTACATCTTATATAAAAAATTTCTCAATTACAAGAATCTAAAATATTTTTATTGCTCTCGAATTATATTTAAATGTATACGAAATGAGATAGAAATGTGTAGCTTCACAATAAGTGTTCAATACCAACTCTTCTGAGGTTTATTAATAATTTCTCTTTATCGGTTTTGACCACTTGATCATTCCCCGATTAATTAATGCAATAACATAGCAATGTAAATTAAGATACCTTTATTGATTCAATTAATAGTTTATTAGTTTTAATTATTTAATACATTGAAAGGAAGCTCACACTTCATATAAGAAGCTGCAAATTCAATTCCAACTATTTATTTTTTCCCTCTAATTAGGACAACAAAATTCTAGTTAAAAATCATCAATATTTCTTGACTTTATAAACTTTGTGAACCAAAACCACGATTTTTTGTTTTGAATTAGATGTTGCAAACAACTTGCAATTTTTTGTTTCGTTGGCTTTGCTTTACTTTACTATACTAGAAGAAATAAGAACCACAAAGTGAAAGAGAAATTTGATGGGCAAATGGTGATCCAAATATTATTGTTACATTATATTATTATTTTATACAAATTGGCAATTATTCCATATTTCTTTATGAGAAACACATGTATTAATGCTCGCGCGATATTTTCAATCACATCATATGTTATTATAAAGTTGAAATCTCAGGGATAAAACTCAATGATATTAACTATCTTTTAATGAGGTTTATAAACAGCTAGATATAAACCTCAAACATAAATTTATATATTTAGTAGAAATAATGCTCACACGATATTTTCAATCACATCATATGTCATTATAAAGTTGAAATTTCAGGGATAAAACTCAATGATATTGACTATCTTTTAGTTAGGTTTATAAACAGCTAGATATAAACCTCAAACTTAAATTTATGCATAGTACGGTTTACAAAGCCCTAAAACAAAAAGAATTGATAAAACTTTTAGATAAATGACTTCCGAGGCTAGCTGTAGTAGTTTCATTACTAGAATAAATATTTTTCACGGCTAATTTGTGAAAATATTATACTATACAGTGTATTATAAAATTTTAAAAATAGATTATTATTATTATTGAATAATAGGAAGCTTAGTAATTTTATCACGTGAAAACAAAGCTATTTTTTTTTCTTTTCTCATCGATTCAAAAATTAAATCTTTAAAAATGACCACTCAAATGTAATCAAACTTTAAACTAAAAAAATTGAAATTGTGATTTTTTCTTTGTAGTGTTCAATATTGTCCTAGTATATGTTTAATTTACTAAATTATAAAGAGGGTGATGTAAGCCAAAGATAAATCAAAAAGTACAAAGTGATGTCTCATCCCATGCAATTCCCATTGTATTGTACCCCAACAACTAGTAGTAATTATAGGGAGTAATTAAGTATGTAATCATTATATTATATGATATTTGGAGACTTAATAATAATTAGTAGACAAAGATCAGACCATATCAAGTCATGCTTCTTTATGTGCCCTACTACTTATAATTAATACATACCACTAGTCCTAAACTTTTTCCTTGTCCATTGGCATATATCTTTTTTTCTCTTACAACACAATTTTATTTTTTTAAAGACATGCTTCATATTTTATCTACATTTATTTAACTATACATATGTGTATATTAATTTTATTCAAATTATGAAATATAATAGGCACTGAATAACATAAACAAAGAATTAAGATTTTAAATTTATAAATTCTAAATTACAATATATATATATATATATATATATTACTTGCTGAATTCATAATAAATTACTTTTTTAAGTTCTATTACAACTCTATGTGTGTGTGCAATTTCACTCACATTGTAATGCTCTATAC